TTTAGTTCAAATGAGAGATTTCACAGAGGAGAAATTAAATAATTTTTACACTATAAGAAGATTGTAACAAAAACTGATTTTTTTTTTTTTTTTTACAATTTAAAGCCTTGTCCCAATGGACCGTTAACATCAACCATTCAGCAGCAGCATGTTGGGTTCCTGATTCAAATTTACTTTGGATTTACCACATGTACTAAATTCATTAAAAGGAAAAGTCGACATATAATTTAATTGACCTAAAAATTTTGCCAACATAGGTTAGACAATTGTATCTATGCATTTAAAGGTAAGCGCTGTAAAGCACAGTGATATTCAACATTAGTGTCTAGTTTAAAAAATATTGTTTTTGAAAACAGGAACTCCCACCTACTCCTGTTATTTAAAGATAACAGGAAATATCATCTGTCACAGCTGGAAGTGAAAAGAAAATTCTGGAGACATTCACCAGTAGAAACTGGTTAGCACCATCTTCAATGGCTGCACATTCCTGGACAAAACCTATTGAAGTACTACCATACTGGCAGACGTCCACCCTGTTAATCTGATTTAGGACTGGCTGCTGCAGTGGAAATGATATGGGTTAAAAGAAAATAGCCAGTTTTCTCTGAAAGATTAACACAGTATAAATATACATTATCTATTTTATATATCATTCGCATAACAAACTAATCTTCTCAGGATTTAGGATGTAAAAAAAATCTAATATATAATTATTTATTTTTTACCTTGGTATCTTTGGCCAGCAGTTCTGTGTAGGCACCATAAATACTTTGCAGCTTTTCTACAATGCAATTCTGGTGCTTCTGTCTCACACAGTACTTGGTGTAGATTCTGTTGCCCAGATCATGAGCTAAAATCTTCAGGGACTCCCCACTAGGAGGCAGGTTAGAAACACTCTGCAGAAAATACAGAAACTTTAGTATTTAAAACACACATAGTAATAAATATAAATTGGAAACTTTTATTATTATCTGGTACAATACAATGAAACACATTAAGTTTGTACTGCAAAAATGACATATTTTTCCTCTGCATCCATGACATTTCTTTCAAACTCAGGGAAGTCTTAGTGACATTGTGGGCTTGAGACATTTTGTTATGCGGTCGGTACAACGGGCTCGCGTTACCTGTATCATAATGTCAACGTACTCCTTGTCCTCCAGCAGACAGAGATATGGATAAAGGTTAAGCTTGTAGTCCCTGGTGTTGGTTTTGGTCAGGATCATCTTGTTCTCCCTGAGCGCCTGGAGGAGAACCTTCTGCCACTGTGCCCGCTGTTCTGCCAGCAGTTCCCTCTGAGAGACAACACAACTGGAAGTCATCCACCGGAGAGAGCAAAAATAAAACGATCCCAACGCAAGAGACAAAAACACACACCAGGTATACTTTACTGGAGTCGCTGTGTGCGTGGGATATTGTTAGGGATGGTTTGGTATAACAATTTTACTGATGAAAGTGGGAAAAACACATTATGCATCTTTCCAAAATGAGATTTTGAAAAATAAAAAAACTGGGATAGGCTTATTCCAAATAGACTCGTGGATAAACAGACAATGCAAATGAGGATAGACTCATTTTCCTGGATATTTGACTCTGGAAAAAGGAGATATAACACAAACAAACATATTTGTATCCATCGGTTTGGAAAACCAAAAAAAGACTAACAGACAGTAAAGCCTTCCATTTTATTTAGCTATGGTACAATTAAGATATTGATTTTACTTAAGTAGCAGCTTTTATAAATCTTAGACTGATGCAGCTTAATATCTCATCTAAATGATGCACAAACAAAATAAATTTTAAATTTGATTTGGTCTTGAATGCATCCAAAGATGGAAAGTATATGAGAAATGAGGACAGATTGTAAGGGAGTGGAAAACAGATGAATGCAAATGCAACGTGATTAATTTATGCATGTGCTAATTAACCTGTAGCAACTTTTCTATCAGATAGAAATATCCAGTATGACTATTAACAACCAGTCAACAGCCTTGGGAGGTGGCAGAAACAAAAAAATGAAATTATGTTATTTTCAACTGTGGAAAACTATTAATACACTAGAATGATTTTACATTTTGTCAAATTAA